ACTAGACTATAGACTAGACTATAGACTAGACTATAGACTAGACTATAGACTAGACTATAGACTAGACTATAGACTAGACTATAGACTAGACTATAGACTAGACTATAGACTAGACTATAGACTAGACTAAGACTAGACTATAGACTAGACTATAGACTAGACTATAGACTAGACTATAGACTAGACTATAGACTAGACTATAGACTAGACTATAGACTAGACTATAGACTAGACTATAGACTAGACTATAGACTAGACTATAGACTAGACTATAGACTAGACTATAGACTAGACTATAGACTAGACTATAGACTAGACTATAGACTAGACTATAGACTAGACTATAGACTAGACTATAGACTAGACTAGTAGACTAGACTATAGACTAGACTATAGACTAGACTATAGACTAGACTATAGACTAGACTATAGACTAGACTATAGACTAGACTATAGTACTAGACCTATAGACTAGACTATAGACTAGACTATAGACTAGACTATAGACTAGACTATACTAGACTAGACTATACTAGGACTATAGACTAGACTATAGACTAGACTATAGACTAGACTATAGACTAGACTATAGACTAGACTATAGACTAGACTATAGACTAGACTATAGACTAGACTATAGCCTAGACTATAGACTAGACTATAGACTAGACTATAGACTAGACTATAGACTAGACTATAGACTAGACTACTAGACTAGACTAGATAGACTAGACTATAGACTAGACTGTAGACTAGACTGTGGACTAGACTGTAGACTAGACTATAGACTAGACTGTAGACTAGACTGATAGACTAGACTAGTAGACTAGACTATAGACTAGACTATAGACTAGACTATAGACTAGACTATAGACTAGACTATAGCTATGACTAGACTATAGACTAGACTATAGACTAGACTATAGACTAGACTATAGAATAAGCTCTAAATTCAACTTATTTTCTAAATTAAAATATTATTATTTGACTTTACTATTAACAGAATTTTTCAACAAATTGTAGAGATTTCCTATCCCTCCTATTATTAGCTCGGACAGTATGTTTATGAATAAGGGTCGGTGAATGACATTACAAATTGTCAAGACTGCTGATAACATGATTGGTCAATTTAATGCGCAAAATATCGAACAATACCCTAGTGGACTGGACAAAGCGTAAGCTAAATAGCTAATTTTATTACATTCTTATTAAAATTATAAATGCAATAAACTTATCATCAATGTGAATTTTATAAACAATGTGATAAATTCTCAATAAATTGTATATAACAAAATAATACAAAAATATGAAAAACCAAAGACTTTTTCCGAGAAATATAGAAATAATAAATATTTTAATTATATATCTACTATTTCTACAATTCCTATTGCATTTCACAATAACAAGAAATTCTTAAAAATACGAAAACTGTATGTACTTATTCTATACATACAGACACATATAGACAATTTTATATACAAATGTACATCTACAATTGCATATGATTGTCACGGTCATTAAGCCGCCTCGAAAATAATACATAATTACAACAACAAAATATAAAAAATATATACTAAAATAGCAAAAAGAACAACTGTTCAACATTGTTGTTTTATGCATAAATTCATAACACTAATGTTCTATAATTGTCTAGGTACATGTAGAAAAAATAATACTAAAAAAACATTTTCAATAGTAGACAATATACTTGTTAGTGTAGTTTTGGTTCCAATTCATTTAAAGGGCACGTTTTATATACACTATAAGAGATAGTTCAATAGGCCTACAATTGTTATTTAATTTTAAAACGTGATTTTTCTTAGATTTTATTTACACAAAGATACTAGAAATACTTATATTAATACGTTTTCAGGGCTACATACTTATTGCTAATTAGTTTTAGTTTTTTCGCCATAACTAAAAATATCTTAATGTTAATTAGATACAAAAGAAAATTCCTTGGATTGCAAGTCTTTTGTTTATTCTATGTTTATACTTTTTTGGCGTCTGCAGGTAATTTGTGTAATATTATATTTTTAAACACTGTGATTATTTTTTTTCTAGCTACGCAAAAATGTTATCTTTAAATCCAGTAAATGTTCTTTTTTCTTTTGTTTTCTTTGCTATTTTTGGTTATTTTAAGCAAAATTGTTTGCATATTTAATTCTTTATTTATAATAGAAACACCCATTTTAATAGCGCTTTCACAAGCTAATCAGCTAATCATTGTTGAAAGTTTTAAGTAAAATTAATGCTCTTAGAGCATTGGCATGTCATACGGTATATTCGCGTCTGGTTTTGGATTGTAGAAATGCTCTTAGAGACATTATGAGACTGTTCACTATTAGACTGTGTTGGGTGCTGTGCGTGATAATGAGCCTTTGACATAGATGATAGGGATAGAGCACTTAAACCTCTCATTCTCAGTCACTATTATATATTGGTTTTCGAGAGAATCCGTGATATCATTAATCAGTCCTGGAATAGTAGAATGGATTGCAAAATATCAAAGGCCTTAGCGTCAACACTTGATGTGAGGGCTAACAAAAGCTACTTATAGAACTGGATATGAGCAATCTACGGATTGTGACAGGGATTTTAACGGGGTATTGTTCAATTAGATAACAGAATAAGCGAAGAATAAGCAACATTTCGCTTATTCTAGAATACAGAATTTTACGTTAAAATGGCTGGAAAATAGGTTCCATGATTAACTGGGAGAAATTACGGGATTCAATTATCGCGGATTTCTTCGGATTTCTAGTAAAGTTTCGAATTTTTAAGTAAAATTTAGAATTTTTAAGTAAAATTTCGAATTTCTAGTGATTTTTTGAATTTGTAGTGAAATTTCGAATTTCTAATGAAATTTCGAATTTCTAGTGAAACTTCGAATTTCTAGAGAGATTTCGAAATTCTAATAAAATTTTAAATTTCTAGTGAACTTTCGAATTTCTAATGAAATTTCGAATTTCTAATGAAATTTCGAATTTCTAATGAAATTTCGAATTTCTAATGAAACTTCGAATTTCTAGTAACATTTCGAATTTCCAGCGAAATTTGGAATTTAAAGCGAAATTTCGAACTTCTAGTAAAATTTCGAATTTTTGACTAAATTTCGAATTTCTAATGAAATTTCGAATTTCTAATAAAATTTCGAATTTCTAGTTAAATTTCAAATTTCTAGTGACATATCGAGTTTCTAGCAAAATTTAAAATTTTTAGTGAAATTTTGATTTTCTAGTGAAATTTTGAATTACTAGTGAATATTTCGAATTTCAGTGAAATTTCGAGTTTCTAGTGAAATTTTGAATTTCTAGTGAAATTTTGAATTTCTAGTGAAATTTTGAATTTCTAGTGAAATTTACGATTTCTGCTAAATTTTCGAATTTCTGGTGAAATTTTCAATTTTAAGATAAATTTTGAATTTTATTGAAAATTTCAATTTTTAATGAAATTTCGATATTAAAGTGAAACTCTAAATAAAACTTTGATTTCCAACGTCTGGTAAAACCTTCGAATTTTTAATGATATTTCCAATTTCTAGTGAAATTTCCAATATTAAGATAAATTTTGAATTTTATTGAAAATTTAAATTTTTAATGAAATTTCGATATTAAAGTGAAACTCTAAATAAAATTTTGATTTCCAACGTCTGGTAAAACCTTCGAATTTTTAATGATATTTCCAATTTCTAGTGAAATAGCGAAGTTATGAAAATTTTGAATTTCTTGTGAAATAAGGATTTTATAGTTCGGAATAATCATTGTTGATTGATTTGAAAATTTTACAGATTAATCAAAAATATTTGATTTAACCTCATAATAAATAAAACTACGAAAGGCCTGCAATAATTCGGCACTGTCGAACTTATAAATTTTAATTTCTTTTAGTTTTATTTAAAATTAATTAAAAAAACTAATACAAAAAGGATTACAAAATACAGAAAAATTATAATAAAAAAAATTATAAAATAAAGTAAATTGGAAAATATTATTTGGCACTGATTTTACAAAAAGAATCTTAACTTATGCAAATTTACTAAAAGTTAAACAGGAAATACATAATTTAAATATTATTAACAGCAAAATAAACATCGACAATAATTAAAAAACAAATGTAAATAATAGCAGAATTATATAATTAAAAAAAAAAAGAAAATAAACACACTGCATTATTTACTAAAAGTAACTGTAATTGTTATTCTATATAAAAAAAAAAATAAATTGGTAATTTAAAAAAATACTATTAAATTATTTTATATACAACTAAATAAATAATAAATAGCAAAAGCAATTTATTTTCAAATATGTAATTCGTTTTGCAAATCAAACATAGAAATGCCTCTAAATACAATTAAAAAAAATATATATGTTAGTAGTTATAAGAATTTATTTAATTTTTAAATTTTTATTCATAGCGCAAATGCATATAATATTATTATTAAAGAAAATTTTAAATTAATAGTAACATTACATTAGCTTTATATAATATTTAAAATGTATTTTTATTATTGAGTATTTTAAAATAATTTTGTTTAAAAAAACCCACAAAACCACCAAGTAATTTTTCAATAAAGTTTTCTATTAAAAAAAATAAAAATAAAACTTAAAAATTTGCGTCTGTTTTTTTATTTTCACTTAAAAATTGGTTGAGAACATACATATTGCAAAAAATGTTTCATTATCATCTCACAGCTCACTTAAGTTCATAACATATCACAACAAAATCTTCCTAAAGCTCAATATTTTTCCTAACAAATAAAAATCCTTCTAAAGTCCTTTTTCACCTAAACCTTCAATTCTAAACGCTGTTATAAAAAAACTATTAATTCATAAAAACTAATTTTGTTTTTTTTTATTTTTTTCTTCTCTTTCATTTACAGGTGTTAAAAATAAAAGAAAAACTTTATTATATAAAATTTCTATATGATTTTTTTCTACAAAAAATTAAAAATAATTTAACAATTAATATTTTTTTATATTTCTTTTATTTGTTTCTAGTGTCAAATGGGTCATTTAATGTGTGCTGCCTGTTTTACACATTTATTAGCTGATGGACGGTAAAAATTAAAAACGTTTATTTAATTTAAAAAAAAACACAAATTTATTTCATTTAAAATGTTTTTGATTTTTAATTTTGTGTTTTGTTTTAGCTTACGTGATCAAATTGCCACTTGTCCCAATTGTCGTGTGGAAATTTCTAAAAGTACTGCTTCTCGCAATTTGGCCGTTGAAAAAGCGGCTTCCGAACTGCCTAGTGAATGTCAGGTTAGTAAGAAGTTCTGTTTAAATAAAGACTTTATTTTTAATGTTATTTTTGTGTTTTTGTTTTCGCTTTAGTTTTGCAACAAAGAATTTCCTTATAAATCTTTAGATCGTCATGAACAACACGAGTGTCAAGATCGACCCACTAAATGTAAATATTCCAGAATTGGTTGTCAATGGCGTGGACCAAATCATGAAAGTAAGTTACTTAAAATTTCACTTTTCTTTTCAGTAATTTTTAGAATTTTAGTTAAATTTCCAATTTTTAGTAAATCTTTGAATTATTATTGAAATTTCAAATTTTAGTGAATTTTTTAGTGAAATTTCTAGTGATACTTCAAATTCCTAGTGAAATTTCAAATTTCTAGTGAATTTTAAATTTATAGAGTGAAATTTTGAGTTTTTAGTGAAATTTCGAATTTCTAGCGATATTTCGAATTTCTAGTGAAATTTCCAGTTATCATAGTAACATTTCGAATTCCTACTGCAATTTCAAAATCATAACGAAATATCGAATTTCTGTTGTTTTAAATGGTGAAATTTCAATTTCCTAATTGAGTTTCGAAATTCTTGAGAAAAATTGGAATTTTTAGTGAAATTTCTAATGTAATTTTGTAAATTTTGAATTTCAGATGAAATTTGGAATTTCTAGTGAAATTTGGAATTTCTAGTGAAATTTGGAATTTCTAGTGAAATTTGGAATTTCTAGTGAAATTTGGAATTTCTAGTGAAATTATGAATTTCTAGTAAAATTTCGAATTTTAGTGAAATTAGGAAGTTCTAGTGAAATTTTGAATTTCTATTGAAATTTTGAATTTCTATTGAAATTTTGATTTTCTAGTGAAATTTTGAATTTCTAGTGAAATTTTGAATTTCAGGTGAAATTTTGAATTTCTAATGAAATTTTGAATTTCTATTGAAATTTTGAATTTCTAGTGAAATTTACAATTTCTAGTGAAATTTACAATTTCTATTGAAATTTTGAATTTCTAGTGAAATTTACAATTTCTAGTGAAATTTACAATTTCTAGTGAAATTTTGAATTTCTAGTGAAATTGAATTGAATTGAATTTCAAGTAAAATTTTGAATTTCTAGTGAAATTTTGAATTTTTAGTGAAATTTAAAATTTTAAGTGAAATTTCAAAATCATAGTGATATTTTGAATATCTGGTATATTCGAATGGTGAAATTTTAAATTCCTCATAAAGTTTTGAAATTTTAGTGGAAAATTCGATTTGTTGGCGAAATTTCCAATTTCTAGAGAAATTTTCAATCACTTGAAATTTGTAAAGAAATTTTCAATTTTTGAAATTTCGAATGTCTGGTGAAATTTCAAATTATTGTTAAAATTTCGAATTTTTAGTTAAAAAATTAAAATTTAGTGAAATTTGCAATTTTCTGTTTTCCAAAAAAAATTTAATTTCTAATAAAATTTCAATCTTTCAGTGAAACTTTTTTCAATGAGGTTTCAAATTTCTAGTAAAATTTCAAATTTCTAGTTAAAAAGTCAAAATTTAGTGAAATTTGAAATTTCAAGTAAAATTTTCTATTTTTAGTGAAATTTCAAACTTATAGTGAAATTTTAAGTTTAGAATTTTTAGTAAAATGCGATTTTCTAGTGAAATGTTGAATTTTTTTCAGCGAATTTTTTAATAAAATTTCGAATTTCTAATGAGAATTGAAATTTCTAATAAAACGCCAGAAATATTTTAGTACAGTTTTCAAATACTGAGAAAAATTTCGAAATTATGAATTCCTAATGAAAAATGAATTATTTTTTTCTATAATTTTCTAGCTACTGAACATGAACGCAGCTGTTTGCATCCCACCAAATCGGGCTATGAAGTAATGGCCGCTTTAGAGGCTCACGATGCTAAAATCAAAGAAGAAAAGAAAATGTTCAATACCCTTATTGATCTCTTGAGCTATGAAAAAATTATCTTTAATGGTATGTTTTAAATTATTCATATTAAATCAATAATAATTTAAATTTTTTGCTAATTAAAGATTTACAAATGAAACCCTATCGTACCGATGAATATGTTCATAAATTATTCTATGAAACTGCTAGATTTTCAGCATTTAATCATCAATGGGTAGTTAAGGCTAGAATAAATAATAGTCAACGTGATCCACATCAATCGAATGATAGAACTATTACCTATCAGGTAATTTATTTTACTTTAAAAATTTTGTTATTATAATATATTAAATTATTATTGTAATGTCATATTTCTTTTGTCTACTTTAGCTTATCTTAAAAACTAAAACTAGTACTCCCATGAGTATACATTTCTTTGCTTTGAAAGGACCTTTCTCTGATATGAAAGTTGGTACACAAATTTATAAACATGATTTTACAGAACAAGTAAGTTTTTTGCTTTTATAAAATTTATGATTTATTTAAGAATTTAAAATTGAATTTTTTTATTTAACAGAGTACCGAAAGTGATTATTATACTTTACCCTTACCGGATAGCAATGAATGCAATCGTTTATTGTCTAATAAAGGCATTAATTTCCGGTAAGTATTTTAAACAAATTATCTTTTATTTTTAACCCCCCATATTCATAAACAACATTTTATTTTATAAAAGGTTTATAAAACAAAATTTCCATAAAAAAAATTTGATTTATAAAATAAAATTTAGTTTATGAATAAGACCTTTAAGGTCGGTTTAACAAAGTTTTATAAAGTGTAATACATTTTTAAAACTTGTGCAATGTCTGTGTAATTGATTTAATAATTTTTTTGTTTCTTTTGTTTTCTTTTACAGTCTCTTGATGTTTTTGCTTAATAAATAAATAAATCTTTAATATAATTCTTAGATTAGTTTAATTTTATTAACTTTAAGCATTCTTCGTTTTCTTTTATTTTATAATACAAAAAAAATATTTTGTTGTCTTCTAATGTTAACTATAAAAAAAATAAATATTGAGAAAAAACAATAACAAAACTGATAAAAAAAGAACATTCAAAAACACGGCACTAGTTATAAAAAAAGCTTTCCAAACTTTGATTTCTTTAAAATCAGTTTGAGATATAAAAAAATAGAAAATTTTTAATTTTATTAATCGATCTACTCGCTCGTAATCGAATACTCACAAATCTAGGGATTCTGCAGCTGTTTTCTTCTGCTCATGAGTGAATTACCGCAGACATCGAGTAAAATTGATTGTAATTTTTCATATCTACATGATGCTATTGTTTTGGAACAAGAAATCTACTATATTTTAGCTTAATTTCGATATCGAAAGATTATTCGATCTCGTATTAGTTAATACGAACCCTGGGGCCAAATTACGGCATACGATATCGATCGAAATCTCCATTTAGATTCTATTGAAATTTCGATCGATATCGTATGCCATAATTTGGGCTCTGCTTTTCGTCAGTTTCTCGATGTAGAAAAGAATCTTTTACAAAAAAGGTTGTTAGTGAAACTTTTAATAGAACTCGAGAATCGAGTTACAGAGTAACCCTCCCTAATAATTTCATTTTCGATTGGAATAGAATCCTGCTACAGGTGTGATATTAGGTTTGTTTGTTAATGAATGCTATTTATAAATGGTTGAAATTGATTTTGTTTGATTCCTTCATACCTTTTTATAATAAATTCTGGAAAAAGTTTAAATTTTGCAAAAAAACCTTTTTTGTTCGCTTTCGAAACGTATTTACCCAATAACTCATAGGACCGAGTGACCACATAAGTAAACGAAACAGTTTTCGTACATAAAATAAATGTCGATATTGAAAATAAATAGATTTCATTATTTGGGAAAGAAAAATTCAATAAATTTTATTTGATCAGGAATGTGTTAATTCGGCCCCTGTTTTCAAATGTGTAAAAGAACTTCAGTTAAGAAAAATCTTAAGAATTTTTTAATGTTAAGAGGATTTTTACCAAAAACTCTTTTTTTAAACATCTTTGGTTTCATGAAGTCAATTTTGTGTTGCTATTTAAGAATTAATATCGTTTAAAAATTTAAATTTTTGAGGTTAGGTTTTCATAGCTGATTACGTTCGAAGTTTTTTTTCCAACCTTTATAAAGCTGTTAAAATAATCATGAGGCTTTTTATAGATTTGAGATTTCTATGAACTTAAGTTTGTACCTTTTTTTTAATATTTCTAATACATACTTATAACTAGTGGCCGTTATTTTAAAATGAATTTTTTGTTTAAAATTTTGCGCGAATTCTATGACTTATATTTCAAATTTTATTTAAAAAATACTATAAATTTATGTATAATCTTAACTAAAATACATAATTATTAAATAAGTGTTTATAATGAAGTTAAAATACATACATATAACATATACATACATATATTTTAATACCTACAAATACATAATATATAATTTTTTTGTATATTTTAATATATTCATAATAATAATAATAATAATAATTTGTTACTTTTTACAAAATGCAATATTAATTTTCTTTAAATATCATGACTAGTTTTTACTATTTAAAGACAATTTCTTTTAGAAAACATATGTACATATTGCTAATAAAGAACTTAATACTTTGTGAAGAAATTATAAAGAACGATATTAAAAACAAAAACCTTTTGAGATTTACTTGTAATTTATGTAAAACTATTAACCATAACATAAAACAAATTTAAATAAAAACCAACAAAAAAAATTGTAATAAAATTTTATCAATATAACAAAAGTATATAGATCTCAAACATATTAAAAAAAAATAACATAAATAAGCTCTTACCAAATATTTTAATTAATTTTTTAAACTCTAAAGTAAAAAAAAATGCAAAACTAATTAAAACTATTTCACTGTAAGAATAACTTAACACCAAAATATATATTTTTAATTTCAAATCTAATAAAAAGGCATTTCAATATTCCTTTTTTTTGAAATTCTTTTGATTTTGTTTTTTAAAGCAAAAGATGTTGAACACTGTAAGACACAACACCAAACTCTTAGGGTCTTATTCATAAACTTTTATCAAAGGTTTATAAATTAAATTTTCATACAAAATTTGTTCTATAAACCTTTGATAAATGTTTATGAATAAGGCCTTTATAATTTAAGCCACGATACTACATACTACTTCTAAAACTAAAGTTAGTTTATTAGACTGCTTTCTACAACAATAGAACAATGCATATAAAGATCTTGCTATGAAATTATAACTTTAAAGGATCTTAACAGTCTGTTAAACAAATGTCTATTTAAAACTATAAACATAGTTCAATATACTTACATATTAACAAATAAAGAGAAAACCATAAACTACAATTAAACTTTTAAACTATGATATTAACAGCATAAACTATTAAAACAAATTACTTTATGTGTATGTAATGATGAAAAAAACTATAACAAATTATAAAATAATTATCAACATATATAAACAAATGTTTTAATTTTATATAATTTAATTAATTACTACAAAACAAATCTCATCAGCTGAATATATAGCAAAATCACTTATAATTATAAAATAAATTTATAAAAAAAACCAAAACTTCAAAAATTAGCCTTAAGGATTTGTCATACCCTACATATATTTATAAAAATAATGAAAATTATTTTATGTAGTTATTATCTCAATGCTACAAATTGTTATTTGAACACAAAAAAATGCATCTTTTAAGTTCTTTATTAGCAATAGTATATGTTTTACATTAATGAGCTATTTTTTTGTTTACTTTCAATATCAAACAAAAATACTAATTATAAGTTATCTCTAATAAAATATATTAGCAACATTGATAATACAATATATAATAGTGTAATGTGTTTTATTTTTTGGGGGTTTCGTTGTTGCTTAGGACATTCACTTCAATAGAAATCTCAAACAAATTGTAATTTATTGACAACAAAAATGTATTACAAAACATTGAAGCCGTTTAGCGGCTTATTTTTCACTTATACACCTCTTTTATCATTTTGTTTCACTTCTTTATTCTTCTACTAAGCCATGTGTATATTGTATATGATATCTAATGGCCTCCCTTGGATTTTTCTTAAATTCTGGATCTTTCAAAATTGCCTGATACGATTTCACCTGTTTAATAAACTTTTCCTTTTTCTTCTTAATCTTTTGTTTGGCACTTAAATGTTTATTATCTTCCTCAGTGGGATCATATTCCTTAACACCTGTCTTCAGCTGATCTTTCTCTTTCGATAATTTGAAAATATCATCTAGCGAAGGTAAAGCATCCTTCAGGGGTTTCAAGTCACCTATAACTGCCGTCTTCTGACGGTTCTGGCGAGCTCTTTCCTCTTTCTGTTGTTTGCGTATAAGTGTGAATTTATTCATAAGATTTTTATGTTTTTGACGATGTTTTTCCTTTTTACTGGTGGTTTTCTTGGGAGTAATTGTCTTATTGAGGATGAGTTTACTTTTATCTTTCGTTGGCACATCGCTACAGTTATCTTTTGATTTTTCTTTTGTATTAAGTTTTTGTTTGGGTGATTTTGTATCCAGAAGTTTTGTTTTTAAGTTATTTTTATTAATTTTGCCCATTTTTATTAAAGAAATGCGAAATAGTAAATAATTGAAAATGAATGAAAATTCCTACGGAATACAGCACGATTTGTTTTGGGATTTTTAAATAAAGGGAATTTTTTACATGTGGTTGGTTGATGGCAGTGTTGTATTATAACAGGCTGGTGCATAAATTATTAAATTTGATTTATGCCGTTGTTTTTTTAAAACAAGCAGGAAAAGTTGCGAAATTAAGTAAACAAATGAATTATATGACAAATTAAAACTTAAGTTGTGTTTTACATTTTTTTAAATTGATATTTGACATATAGGACAATATAAACAAAAACTCTGTGTTAAAAGATCGTGTTCCAAATAATATGGTGCTGTACAAAACATACACTTTTCATACAACCCTGAATATGTTTATTAAACTATGGAATTCATTATGGTGAAATAAGTAATAAATACTTAACTGTCAAACATTGCTGTTATTGTAACAACAAATACATGTAAATTTGACAGTTTAATGATACCTACAAAAAAACGAGAACAAACAAACCTTTTTTAATACTTTTTCTAAGTGTAAATAAAAGATTGAAGGAAAACAAAACAATAAAAAAAGTAAACAATAATTTTCAATGATTATTTCGGTAATTTTTCAAACAATCGGTAAAAATGAATATAGCCATTAAATCCGAACCAGACATACTTGAGGAAACCATTTCTCAATCCTTTGAATTTATCGACGAAAAACCAGATGTTAACACTATCGCATGCACAAATATTAAGAATAATCTACAGCAGCCAGCAGCTCCTAGAAAGACCCAACCGTCAAAAAATCAAACGAAAAATAGAAATCTTAAACAAATAGACAAAAATAAAAACGCGAATAAATTTACACTTTATGTAAAGAATAAATTCATAGAAGCATTTCAACAGGAAGGCTGTACGCCAAGTACAGTGGAGAAATATGCAAATATCTACAATGTCAAAGTGGAGACTGTAAATAGTAGGTCATTTTGTTTTTAAAAGGATTGTAATGCAAATTTTAAAAATAATTTTCAATTTTGTTATAGAATATTTTGGTGAGGCCGCCAAAGAAGCCCAAAATAATGTTTATCAAGAATGTGATTCCTTGAGTTTTAGTAACATTTCTGAGTGGCTTAAATATTTTCCAAACAACTGGTGTTTCCCAGGAATGCAACTATGAACCGGCTGGTTCTTAATGAATGCTATAAGCCAAATAATGAAGATCATCCACCATGATCCGGAGTCAATAAGTGGCATAGATTTACAGTAAGTTATGGCAAGTTTAGATAGTAGATAAGATAGATTAGATAGATAGCTAGAAGATAGGATCGATCCTAGATAGATAGATAGCTGATCGTATAATAGATAGATAGATAGATAGATAGATAGATAGATAGCTAGATCGATAGATAGCTAGATAGATCGATGATCATAGATAGATAGGATAGATAGCTGATAGATGTAGATAGACTAGATAGCTCGCTGGAGCTCGTGCTGTCGCTACGCGCTCGCTCGCTGCTCGCTCTGCTCGCTCGCTCGCTAGCTCGCTCGCGCTCGGCTCTCTCCTCGCTCGCTCGCCGCTCGCTCTCTCGCTCGCTCGCTAGCTCGCTCGCTCGCTCGCTCGCTCCTCGCTCGCTCGCTCGCTCGCTCGCTCGCTGCTCGTGCTCGCTCGCTCCTCGCTCCTCGCTCGCTCGCTCGCTCGCTCGCTCGCTCGCTCGCTCGCTCGCTCGCTCGCTCGCTCGCTCGCTCGCTCGCTCGCTCGCTCTCTCGCTCGCTCGCCGCTCGCTCGCTCGCTCGCTCGCTCGCTCGCTCGCTCGCTCGCTCGCTCGCTCGCTCGCTCGCTGCTCGCTCGCTCGCTCGCTCGCTCGCTCGCTCGCTGCTCGCTCGCTCGCTCGCTCGCTCGCTCGCTCGCTCGCTCGCTCGCTCGCCTCGCTCGCTCGCTCCTCGCTCGCTCGCTCGCTCGCTCGCTCTCGCTCGCTCGCTCGCTCGCTCGCTCGCTCGCTCGCTCGCTCGCTCGCTCGCTCGCAGCTCGCTCGCTCGCTCGCTCGCTCGCTCGCTCGCTCGCTCGCTCGCTCGCTCGCTCGCTCGCTCGCTCGCTCGCTCGCTCGCTCTCGCTCGCTCGCTCGCTCGCTCGCTCGCTCGCTCGCTCGCTCGCTCGCTCGCTCGCTCGCTCGCTCGCTCGCTCCTCGCTCCGCTCGCTCGCTCGCTCGCTCGCTCGCTCGCTCGCTCGCTCGCTCGCTCGCTCGCTCGCTCGCTCTCGCTCGCTCGCTCGCTCGCTCGCTCGCTCGCTCGCTCGCTCGCTCGTCTCCTCGCTCGCTCGCTCGCTCGCTCGCTCGCTCGCTCGCGCTCGCTCGCTCGCCTCGCTCGCTCTCTCGATCGCTCGCTCGCTCGCTCGCTCGCTCGCTCGCTCGCTCTCTCGCTCGCTCGCTCGCTCGCTCGCTCGCTCGCTCGCTCGCTCGCTCGCTCGCTCTCTCGCTCGCTCGCTCGCTCGCTCGCTCGCTCGCTCGCTCGCTCGCTCGCTCGCTCGCTCGCTCGCTCGCTCGCTCGCTCGCTCGCTCGCTCGCTCGCTCTCTCGCTCTCTCTCGCTCTCGCTCGCTCGCTCGCCGCTCGCTCGCTCGCTCGCTCGCTCGCTCGCTCGCTCGCTCGCTCTCGCTCGCTCGCTCGCTCGCTCGCATGCTCGCTCGCTCGCTCGCTCGCTCGCTCGCTCGCTCGCTCTCGCTCGCTCGCTCGCTCGCTCGCTCGCTCGCTCGCTCGTCGCTCGCTCGCTCGCTCGCTCGCTCGCTCGCTCGCTCGCTCGCTCGCTCGCTCTCTCGCTCGCTCGCTCGCTCGCTCGCTCGCTCGCTCGTGCTCGCTCGCTCGCTCGCTCGCTCGCTCGCTCCTCGCTCGCTCGCTCGCTCGCTCGCTCTCGCTCGCTCGCTCGCTCGCTCGCCTCGCTCGCTCGCTCGCTCTCGCTCGCTCGCTCGCTCCTCGCTCGCTCGCTCGCTCGCTCTCTCGCTCGCTCGCTGCTCGCTCGCTCGCTCCTCGCTCGCTCGCTCGCTCGCTCGCTCGCTCGCTCGCTCTCGCTCGCTCGCCTCCTCTCGCTCGCTCGCTCGCTCGCTGCTCGCTCGCTCCTCGCCTCTCGCTCGCTCGCTCGCTCCTCGCTGTCGCTCGCTCCTCCTCGCTCGCTCGCTCGCTCGCTCTCTCTCGCTCGTCGCTCGCTCGCTCGTCGCTCGCTCGCTCGCTCTGCTCGCTCGCTCGCTCGCTCGCTCGCTCGCTCGCTCGCTCGCTCGCTCGCTCGCTCGCTCGCTCTCGCTCGCTCGTCGCTCGCTTGCTCGCCGCTCGCTCGCTCGCTCGCTCGCTCGCTCGCTCGCTCGCTCGCTCGCTCGCTCGCTCGCTCTGCTCGCTCGCTCGCTCGCTCGCTCGCTCGCTCTCTGCTCGCTCGCTCGCTCGCTCTCTCGCTCGCTCGCTCTCGCTCTCTCGCTCTCTCGCTCGCTCGCTCGCTCGCTCGCTCGCTCTCTCGCTCGCTCGCTCTCTCGCTCGCTCGCTCGCTCTCGCTCGCTCGCTGCTCGCTCGCTCGCTCGCTCGCTCGCTCGCTCGCCTCCTCGCTCGCTCGCTCGCTCGCTCGCTCTCGCTCGCTCGCTCGCTCGCTCGCTCCTCGCTCCTCGCTCCTCTCTCGCTTTGTCTCCGCCCCTTGTTCCCCTTTCCTCCCCGTTTCCTTTCCTCCCTTGTTTCCCTTCCCTTCTTGGCCTTCCTCCTTCTTTTCCTTTGATGTTCTTTATTTCAGAGCAATTTACCACTTTCTGGGTAACCGCTCTCATGGGTCTACCTCAAAACCCATTAGATGAAATTTCTGCCAAATTTTTAGCTAATGAATTCCAGGTAGGAAAATACTTAATTATGTGTATTTTTAAAAAATATAAAATTTTATACACTTTCATATATTATCGCTATTTAGAATCTAATAAATGAGGCAAACACTGACATGGCCGATTATGATGTACGAAATATGAAGAGAGAAATTGAAAACTCTTTGATAAATAAAACAAATCGGAAATTTCGCAGTTTAGATCCATTGAATACAGATACACAGCAATTAGAAAGAATGTCTATAGCAAAAGTTAATTGTAATAATTTAAAGATGGAAAATGTTGCAACAAAGTTGGAGAAATAATAAATAATGTCACAAAAGTTTGTATATTAACAACACCAAATATAACCACCAACGCATTAATAAAACCACATATACTTTTTTACAAATAAATTTGTAATTACATATTTATATATATGCTAATAATAATAAAATTCTTAATTAACTATAAAAGTAATACATTTCACAAATACAATCAGTACATTTTAAAATGGAAATTCTTTTATCTTAATTTAAGTAATTACGAAAAAAATATGGAATTGTTTGTATAAATATATAATAATAAAAACATTTTGGCAGCGTCCATTAGTGGAAGAACATAAAGTTAATTTGCATAAATGCCCGGATTAAAATAAAGAATTTTATTAAAGCCTATATTAACATAACTAGCCGTTTGCAGTTCATTATTATTTGTGCGCAATTTTGAAATACCGGCTTGTATAATTTTAAGCATTTCCTCAAAGGATGTATTGTGCGCATGGGCCGCCATGATATCAACAAAACTCTGAATATACCAGGAGCCGTTTTCAACATCACGATGAGCTACAAAACCAGCTGTAGTGGCATAGCATTTAATAACATCCGATAGCTGAGCAATATTATTGATAGCACGACGTGTTGTGCCAACACCTTCAGTTTGTGTTTTATTGACAACGTTAACACCCTTATCTGATATTTCACCACGACAGTAGGGATAAATGAAAATTTTTGGTTTACCCACTAATTGTGTACAGTTTTCATGATAGAAACGCTTTTCTATCTCTTCCACTTTCACTACAGAGCCATCGTGGAAATATATCCATTGTACACCGTCCGACATCTGACCATGCGTCATTAGGGCCATGACAAAGCATTCGGTGTCTCTAATTTCGTCCGAGCTCAATAGTTCATCGAGTAGAGAAAAGAATTTCTTTTGTGTTAGGTTTTATAGGCATACAATTTGAAGTCCAACTGCTTAAATAGCGACAAAAGGGAATGCGTGTCTTCATCGGCTCCCGAACGTCGCTCTTCCATGGGAAAATCTACAATATTAACCATAAAGAAGACGCCACGATTGCTTTTACTTTCCATGGAATAGGTGTCGATGCTGTTATGTTTTAAAATGCGCTTAGCCTTAAGAACGTTTACATCTTTCTTCGGCTGAATTGTATCCTCGTATTGGTGGAGTGTGATCTCATCCGAATCGCATCGGGAAAGCTGGAAAAAAAGAAAAATATATACATATGTAGTAACTATAGTCACTGTAAAAGCTTTTAACAATACTAATAGGATTTTTATATTAAATGCCAAAGAACAGAGCGGTATACTTTTCTTCCAATAGATCCAGTCAATTCAAACAAATTTAAAGCTAATTCTGTTACAACTCTTACCTGTCTACTTATTGTTCCATCTCTATCATCAATATTATTATTTGCTATATTCACATGATTAATCTCCGTATTGCCAGATGTTGCTGTTCCGGTTTTCTTACTAGAACTTATTGAAATCATACCCTTGTCATCGTCATGCAATATCTTTAAAGCATCCTTATATTTCAAATCCATTAATATACGGCACAACATCTCAAATGCATCAGGACCTCTTTTTGTTATTTTCACAAACAACCTTTTGTGACGTTCCCTTTTAAATGTCTCTTCATCGAAAGTATCTGCAAGAGATTTCTCCGGCTCGACATGATGAATATTTTGTATCATAGTATAACTCAACAAATTATTGCGATAGCAAGCATCACATAATGTTTTAAAATCGGTAAAATTTACTAAAGAATCAATGTTTTGTAAAATACGTTTACGCTGATTATCATTCATGGTTGTGGGGATTTATTGTTGATGTTGTTGTGTTAATGACGTAGTTGTTGTGACCTTTTTTGGAAGAAATAAATCTGTTTGAAGTTTATTTGTTGTTAATGAAAATTACTTAATTTTATTTGGAGGCAGTGATCTTGTTGCAATGTTTAGGAAGTTATTAAGATTCTCCTCTAAATATGGCAATTGTTGCTCTCTAACTTACTATATTAAACTCTCAGAGAATCTTTTTATTACAATAATGTAATGTTAACTATTCCAGGCCAGTTCCTTTGTTTGATTTTTTTTATTTTTCTTCACTCTGCAGCAGCCTTTGTTCGTTTTTACTCCTTATTTTCTCAAAAGCAATTTATATTTATTATCCCGATTATTTTATCTAACAAACAAATCAATTATATATCTTGTAATTGTTTAACTATAAAATATTTTTATTGAATTTTGTTAAAATTTCTTTTGAAACAAAAGGCGAATCTCGTTAATTAAAAGTGCACTTGTTCGTTTAATAGCTTGCAATTTACTAAACAATTACTAAAAAAATCATGATGATGATGATAAAACAGAGCCCTGCGCCGACAAATATTAACGGCGGCGGCGACTGACACTAAATATGTCGGCGGCGGCTTAAAATCGACGGCTAAGTTTTCAACTACGTTTAGTTTTTAATTTTTCAACGATTTTAAATAAAAACGGAATCCGAGAGATCAGAAAGTAGGATTTTGGAAGCAAATATATTGTTTATAACAACAAAACAGAGCAAACTCAAAAGTTGCATGAGAAATTATGCAGGGATGAATAAAAAATTCTTAAAAATTAAAAACAAATCCTTTCTCCAAGTTTTACTAGGATCTGCCGTTATTTAACCCTATCATATAAAACATCTTGCAGAAAATCAGTTTCTAAAAAATTTTGCATTAAGAAAATGATCAATAACGTAAAAATAAAGATATTTTATTTGTTTATTTACTAGCTATACCCAGTGTGCTGTGCTACCCTAAAAGCAATATAAATAAGAAACCTACTTAACAATTTTGATGATTCTAACTACAACGGTTTTCCAGATATACAATTTGTTACATATGGGAGATTCCACGCAAATTATTGCAATTTCGCCAATTATTCCGAACGTTAATTAAGTTTTTAATTTAATCTATGAAAAATTTGAATAATCTAATAGTTTCCAGATATACAAAATTTTGTATTTAATTCATATGGGAAGAGCCAAGCCCCCCATTGAAAGTCCGCCCGTTATTCTCTAAATGTTCTTCAGTAAAATTTGAAGATTCTAGCTCTAATAGTTTCTCAGATATACGAATTTTTCTATTTAATTCATATGGGAGCTCCAAGCCCCCCAGATGTATTTAATTCATATGGGAGGTTCCGCTCCCCTCATTGGTAGTCCCCCAGTTTATTACCCAAAATGTTTACATGGATGTTAAAGTTCTTCCAGAACAACATCATTTAAAGGGATCACAAAGAGATTGAAAAATATTCCAAAAGTTTCACTTTGAAAACATTATTAGAATGTATGAAAACTCGCAACTCTAAAGGAAGACTATTCCTATTTTAGGGGTATTTTATGACTAAAATAAGTAAGGCAAATCATATGTCGTAAAAAAGCAAATTTCGGAAGTGGTCCGATCATTAGATTAATAAGAACGTCACCGTGATTTTCGGATTAGGGACTTAAATGTGGAATTGGATCAATAATATATATCATTTAAAGTATTTTTTTTAATTCTACCATAATTCTATCATAATGATAACTTTTGGAATGATGTATTAGCTATAAACTGATTTTCTGTAAGAGGGTTATATTGGCGGACCGATCCTCATAATTTTATTTTTCATAAATGTAGGTTTCGGTTCCTAAAAATGTTTATTTCGTCGACATTTGAAAGCCATTTATGTGCGTTTAAGTCATTTTCTGAAGAAGATTTCATTACATATTTTCATTCCAACAAAAAATGTTTTATTATGGTATTATTAAGTACGTAGAAAACGTTAAAATCAATTATTGAAGGGGGCAGGGTCAACTATGGCCTATAGAGATTTCGATTGATATCGAGCCCTTTTTGCAAAATGGACGTAAGCGAGATAAATTTTCGTTCAATTAGGATACTGCGTGTTTAATTTTATGTTTATATA